GCAGTCAGAGCAGGCTTCGAGGATCAGGGCGGGGAGGGCTGTGGGGTCCCTGGCACTGACCTGTGGGGGTGCCCAGTGGCAGTGCCGCAGCCCCCCGAGGAGGGCCATCTGCTTCTCCAGGTGGTAGAGCCAGCAGTCCAGCTCGGCGCGGCCGGGGCAGAGCACCAGGAGGGGTGCGGGCAGCGGGCCTGCGGGTGGTCAGAGAGAGCACAGGTATGCACACACACTCAGCAGCAGGGCAGGCAGGCTCCTCTCCGAGGCCTGGTCAGGGGTGCGTCTGGGGGCCCGGTCAGCATCCCACACACCTGTGATCTCGAAAGCGTGCTCTTGGGACCCCTTGAATGCACGGATGCTCAGCTCCGTCAGTGGTAGCAGCCCCTGCCGGGCACAGGATAGGAGGGCCTTCAGGGATCCAGGGAGAGATGGATGGCCATGCCCCCCCACCCCCTGCTGCCCACCGCCTCACCTGAAGTGTGAGTCCTTCAGAGCCGTGAGCCTGGAAGTAGAGGTGGGCGGGGAACAGCTCCAGATAGCAGTCGCTGACATCCTGCGCAGGGAGCAGGGTGGTCAGTGGAGGGTCTGGGGAGCAGGTCCCAGGTTGGTGGGGATGCTGGACGCTGAGTGCACCCCACCCACCTGGCCACACCTGGCTGTGCTGGAACCGCAGCTGGACCTTGGCATAGTGCACCACCTTTCCCAGGTTCCTCACGGGGACCCTCCGCCGCCCCTTCTTGAACACACTCAGGAATGGCTGCTCCGCGTTTTCTCGCTGGGTTTCCAGGTCCAGGATGTCCTAGGAGGAGCAGAACTCAGGGGAGGGGCCTGGCCTGGGCTCCCCACACCCTCATTGACGTCCACATAGCTACATGACAACAGGCAGGGTCTGCCTGTGCACAGCCAAACAACATCTATGCAAAGATCGCAGCCCCACGTGCACAAAGCCCTGCACGCTCACAGCCTCTCCACAGGAAGAGTCATGGCAGAACTTGCACACACACACATGCATATATGCCCACACACATACATGTACGTGCACACACAAATATGCACACATACAGGCATACACAATACGTGCATGCACATGCACACATATATGCATGCATACACACAGACATGCATCACGTGCACACACATGTGCACACACAAATGCACCCATGGACACATGGACATGTGCATACATAGTACACACCCATGCACAAATACACACACGCGTGCATGCACACATATGCAAACATATGTGGTGCACACATATGCAGCTGTACATGTGCACATGTGCATACACACATGCACATATACACATTGCGCACACACACACATTTGTGCACACATACATTCATGTACACACATACGCGCACACACACAGACGCGCTTCCCCGCACAGAGCTGCCTGGTGTAGTGGGAGAGATGCGACGGTGAGATTTGGACTCTGGATTAAACCCTATCTTCACCCTTTCCTAAAACGTGTAATATGGCTTTGGTTATTCAGCCTCTGAAGACTCGTTAAAAGAATTTGGGGTGTCTGGGGGAAGTGACACCTACAACCCTCTCACGTCTGCAGTATTGGCTGGGACACGTTTAGCACCGGGTTTTACAAACACACACACACACACACCAAGGACCTGATTAATGTTTGCCAATTTCCTCAGTATAAATGTTCCCACTGCCACCCATTTCCAGCCCCCAGCCTGAGCGAAAGATATGAGATTTCCGGTGTCCATCCCCTGGGCGTGTGCCGGCCGCTCCCCAAGCTTCACCCGGTGACAGCCGGGTCCTGGCAGTGCCCCGAGGGGTCTCCTCACATCAGGCCCAAGCGCTTCGGGACCACTCAGCCCTAACCCTCCTTACCCACTTTGCAGCTTTGCTCAGACATCCCCTCTTCTAAGAGGCCCTCTTCTGAAAGTCCCCGATCCTCTGCACCTGGTCCCTCTACCTTTCTCCTTAGCGCTGACCCCACCCCGCTTCTGTATCTTCTGTTTATCTGTCTCATCATCTGTCTCTGCTGTGGGGATGAGAGCACCAGAAGAACAGGGGATTTTGCCTATCTTGTTCACTGCTGTGTCCCCAGATCCTAAGACGGGGCCTGGGATGTGTTGTGGGCATCAATGCTGAGAGAGGCGGGGAATCTATGTCCACCCACATTTAGCCAGTCCCGGCACACAGAGTCCTCTACAGATAGAGGCTGGGATCACCAGGTTAGGGGTCAGAAAGGGCATGGACATGAACCTGGGGCTGGAGAGCTTTGGGACCCATCCGCAGGCTCAGGGGCAAGTGCGTAGGTGTCCTGCTCCCTCTAGGAGCTGCCAAGGGCTACCTGCAGGGCTGCTGTGCCCTGGCCAAGCTTAGCTGCCCCTGAGCAGGCCCAGGAATGTGAACAGACAGATGCGTGGCTTCCCCGGCCTCCTGCCTCTGGGTGGGGCCCCCTGTATCCACACCCAGCATGGGAACTGATGTCGGGTTGGCACCCATGAAAAACAGGCCACAAACCAGGAAGGGCCACACAGCTGGTCCTGCAGCCCAGCTCAGCCTTGGGGCCCTGGGGAGGACGCAGCCTGGAGCAGTGGCAGGGCCGGTTCACAGGTAGCAGAGCCAGTCGCAGGCCGGAGATGCACGGCTCTAGGACCGACCCAGAACTCCTCCCCCAGCCCCATCTTCTGAGGGTCAGCAGCAGGTCTTTCCCTCTCCGGCTACAATGTCCCAGCAAGGGAGGACCACCAGGGTCACCACACGTCATAGGACCCCACCAGGGTCACGCTGCACATCCTGGGCCTGGACAGAGGGAGTGTGGTGCCTCAGATGCAGCCAGAGACCCCCAACCCTGACCCAGCCCGGTTCTGCTCCCTGCCCCCACCTTTGAGGTGGCATGTTTCCGAAGCCTGCCCCCGTCTGCAGGGTGTCCTGAAGCTCTGGGGGTCAGGAGAGGCTATGGCACAAACTTCCTGCCTGGTGAGCCATGCTGGCAAGGAATCTGCACAGCTGCACCAGCTGCTGGACCCAGGTGCAGGGCAGAGGTCCTCCCCCAGACGCCCCTGGGGCCCACACACAGCAGAGCCCACCCATCCAGGCTGCCCGAAGGGGCCGCAGTGGGGATTCCTGTCTGCCCTGAAGCCCAAGTTCCTCCTCCTGCTCCCTCAACCCAACACTGGCCACATCACAAAGGGGCTGGGTGTCTCTACCCTGTGAAGACCCTCAGTACCCCGGGCCCGGCAGGGAGGGCACGGGGGAGTTTACGCTCCTTCCGTGGTGAGGTGGCCACGTGTGGGCCTGGGAGATGCCTCCTTGCTGCGAGGCCTTGGCAGGCTGGGAGAAGGTCTGCGCAGCGCGCACAGCTGCTGTGGACCAGGCAGCCGGCCAGCAGCAACTTCCTGAGAGACGCCCGTGGGGAAACTGAGGCTGGTGTAGGTGACCAGAGGGCTCACTGCTCTTCTGAGATCCCTTACTCTCCAGGAACACTACCAGCACGACCCCAGCCCCACGGCAGCGGCCGAGAGGCCCACACTGGTCCCCTGGCCGGTCTCGGGGGCCCCGCCCGGCCCGCCCCGCCCAGCTCGCTCCACTGACTCAGTCTTGGTTTCGCTCTCCACTCAGACTTTCGGCCGGATGAGCTCTGGCCGGATGAGCTCGCCGGGGCGGGGCTGCTCCTCACCTGCGGGGGTCTGACTCCCTCAGGCCGCACACGCACGGGCAGAGCCGTTCCCCCCCGCAGCTCACCGTGCCCGGGACGTAGTGGAAGATCTTGGCGGCGGCGGCGTCCCCGCTCCCAGCGGCCTCAGGGCCCAGCAGGACGGCCAGCTTCCGTGCATTGTCCTCTCTGGGGACGAGGGCAGGGCTCACGGGCTGGACCTGGAGCAGGTGGAGGAGCCCCGCGCCCAGGTGGCCGCGCCCACGCCCCTCACCTGTTTCCCTTCAGCGAGGGCTTCCTGGAGAAGGAGACCCGGAGCCTCCTGGGGGCCTGCGGGACGCAGTGGCTGTTCCCCATGGCCGAGTCTCGTCGGCAGGTCTGGGTCCCCGTCCACAGCCTTCTGCCGCCGCCTCCCTCGGGCAGGCGGGGCTGAGGGACGTCCTGCTGGCACCGAGGGCTGGGCCAGGGTGGAGCCTTTCTGGAAAGGGCCCGGCCCTATCTGAGCCGTCGGTCTCTGCCCTGGGCCCTCCACACCGAGAGGCCAGCCTTGGGGCGAGCACGCCTCTGGCCCAGACGAGGGCTCCAGCGTGCAGGGAGCACTTGGCTTGGTGAACCCTGGCCGCCCCCACCAACCATGTGGGCACACATCCTGCTTCCATCTACAACCCGGCCGGCCTCAGTCACCGGTGACTGCACGGAAGCCTGAAGCAGGAGTTCAAGCAAGGAGACGGCAGCGAGAGCCACCCCAGCCTCTCCTCCTCACCACAGGCCCGAGTGAGGATCCCCAAGGTTTAAGGGGACCCAGAAGGCCACATGCCCTCCAGGCGACCAGGACAGTCGGGGTACACGGGGGCAATGCTGTCCCGCCTGGCCCCACCCCCAGACCTCGGCCTCAGGACCCAGCCCCGGCAAACCCTACTCACAGCTGGGGACCAGCCACAAGGACTCCATGGCCCCAAGCCTCCCCCATGCACAGCTCTGCCTTGCAGCCCTCGGGGGCCCCACACCCCGAACCCCAGACAGGACCCAAGTTGTGCAGGTGCCCCACAAGCCAGAGAGAGATGCTTGGCCTCAGGCCTGAGGAGCCCAAGAAATGTGTTTATTGTTCAAGTTGGCTTGTATTGCTGTGTAGGGTCCGTGTGCACGTGTGTGCCCGCTACAAGATCCAGGGAAGATGGCACACGGCCGACAGGACCCTGCTCCCCATCCTTCCCAGGACCCCCGTGTGCAAGTGAGAACCGTGTGCAAAACTTGAGCTGGGTCTGCAGTGGCTTGGAAGGCTCCAGGACCTCGTGCTCCTGGCCTGCAGGGTCTCAGCAGGTGGCAGCCCCGGGCCAACGAGCCCCTAACCCGTCATTCCCTGCTGCCTCCAGGCAGGGAGTGGATGGGAGGGCACAGAGAACCAGACGCTGAAGGCGTGAAGGAGTGGCCGCAGCACTGCTCAGCCCTCAATAAATACGTAAATAAATAAACAACTAAACAGACAAAAAGGAACGGACGGGTGATGCGACAGATGGCGCGGGACGTCCCTGGTGGGGGCCGTGGCCCCCTTAAGGCATGTGGGAGGCCGTGGGCCTCTGGCGGTGGTTGGGTCAGAGGCTGGTGGAGGACACGGAGAGCGTGGGCGAGGACGGCGGCGGGAAGTTGAGCAGCTCCAGCACCGCCACGCCCACACTGCTTCGCCGCGTGAACATGCAGGAGGCGGCCACCCACTTGTTGGTCCTCGGGTTGTACTTCTCGATGGAGTTGAGGCTGGAGCTGCCATCGTTGCCCCCGACCGCATACAGCCAGCCATCCATGGCCACCAGGTCGTGTGTGCTCCTGGGGGGCAGGCGGGGTGAGACCCAGGCGGCAGGAAGGGATGAGGGGAGGGGTCGCGCCATGAGGAGGGGTGGGGCGGGACGTGCCCGCTGAGGTGGCGAGAACCCCTCCCCGCAGGACGCCCCGCCGCGGACCTGCGGATGTTCATCGGTGCCACGCTCTCCCAGGCGCCAGCCTTGGGGCTGTATCTCTCCACCGAGTTGAGGCAGCTGGTGCCATCGTTGCCCCCTGCCACGTACAGGGCACCCTCCAGCACGGCCACGCCTGCCGAGCTACGCCGGCTCAGCATGGACGCCACAGGCGACCACACGTTCACCTGGGGGTGAGGGCGCGGGCTGGAGGCAGACCTGCCATGGGCATCCCTCCCCTGCTGCAGCCCCTACTCCAAGGGTGGGTGTCAGGGACGGGCGGGATGTGGGTGACCGCAGGGCACACAGCCCGCAGCACCCGGAAGTGGGGGCCGGGAGGGGTGCGCTATGCACCTGGGGCTCATACTTCTCCACGGTGGCCAGGTGAGAGGAGCTGTCATAACCGCCCACGGCGTACAGGTTCCCATCTGCAGAAAGCCGACACACCCGTGGCACTCCTGCTGTGAGTGGGGTCTCCAGGGTGAGGGAAGATGGGGATGCCCCCAAGACAGAACCCGTCACCCACCGAGTGTGGCCACACGCACATAGCGCCTCCGGGTGCTCATGGCAGCAACGGACGTCCACGCTCCAGTCAGGGGGTCGTAGCGTTCGGCACTGTGGGCACCACGACCGCCGCGGCTCAGCGGAGACGGAAGGTGCCCGGCCCCAGGACCTGCCCTCCCCAGCGCTGCAGGCAAACTACTCCCTGACAGGCAGGGCCCACCGGTGGACACAGGCCCCAAGCTGCCTGGACAACCCTGGTGTGCACCCACCTGGGCCCAGCCTCTGGACTTGGGGTGAGAACCCTAGAGAGAAAAGGGCACTGGCCCAGCAAAGCCAGGAGCTCAGGCCCAGTGTGACCGTGGCCTGGGATGAAGAGACCCCACGGACCCCCTTTAGCGGCCACAGTCAGACACGACCTCGGTGATGGTGACGTGGCCTCGCCTCCTGCAGTCGGACCCTGTAAAGCCACCGGGTCCCCAACTACTACCTGTTCAGGCAGGAGGCCCCGTCATAGCCGCCGGCCGAGTACAGGAGCCCGTGCAGGGCAGCCACACCCAGGCAGCTTCGCCTCGTGCCCATGGACACCTCCGGCTGCCACGTGTTAGTCACGGGGTCATAGGACTCCACGGTAGCCAGGTCTGAGGTCCCGTCGTAGCTAGCAGAACAGACCCACGCAGGTCAAGACCGGCCTAGCGGGCACGCACCAGACCCCTGACGCAAGTCCCACCTCCAGGCTTACCCGCCCACAGCATACAGCCGGTTCCCCACGGCAGCCACGCCCACCCGGGCCCTGCGCGTGGACATAGAGGCCACCACATGCCAGCGATCAGTGCGCGTGTCGTAGGCCTCACAGTCTCCGTGGATGGCAAACAGGCTCCCACCGCCTAGAGAAAACAGGTAGAAATAGGACTTGTAAGAGGACCCACTGATGAGCCACAGCCTAGGCTCCTGGGAGGCCCCTGGATGGAGGAGTGGTGGAGCAGCTCAGGACCTGACCGGCAGACATGGAGTGGGCTCGTGCTGGTAAGGCAGGCGGAGAGGGAGCGGGGCCATACCCACGGCGAAGAGCACTGGGCCGGCCCCCTCGCAGCGCCGGGGCCGCGTGCGGCTGGTGCCCAGGACGCCCCTCTGCTCCGGCAGCAGGTGGAACTTGAGAGCCTCGATGAGGAGGTCCTTGCAGTCGGGGTGGTGCCTCACCAGGCTCTCGGCATCCACGTGGCCCAGCAGGAAGTCACGGCTCAGCAGAGGCAGCCGCACACACTTCATGAGCTGGGGCGCAGGGGGTGCCAAGGTCGGGCGGGACCCGTGGGCACACTTGGCCCCAGGGTTGAGACCCCCCCGACGCCCGTACCACCTGTGATGAATTCCTCTTCAGACAGATACAGGTACCACCCCCACGGAGTCCCTGCACTCGGGGAAGGTCAGGGTGCACCGGACCCTCGGCCACCTGTATGCCTTCACAGACACTGTGGGAGCCCCCGGGGCTGGGCCTCACCCGTGGGACGTGCTGTCTGCGGGCGTCCACGTCATGTTTCACCCAGCTCAGGACGGCGCGGTAGACCTCCTCTTCTGAAGGCACATTCAGGCTGTCGCTAGACACCAGTTCCAGCACCTGGAGATGAGGGTTCCCAGGCCTGAGATCTGGGGAGGGTCCCGTGTACCCAGGGAACCCTGAAGATGCCTAGGAGGGAGGGTCGGGGATGGGGACTGGGTGCTCACACTGGGAGGGGCCGAGCAGAGTCAGGAGCCACAGAAGTGGCTCCTGGGTGGCCTCTACGCATATGGGACTTGGGCGCGCACGGCGGGCACTAAGGCTAACAGGCAGGGCTGCGTCACGGACACGATAGGGTCAGTAGTTAAAAGCAAAGACTTGGGTGGGATCAGGTTGAGAGGGAGGGCTGGGCCGCTGTTACCTGTTTCAGGGGCAGCAGCATGAACTCCTCGGTCTTGGCCACGTCCACGAAGTGCTGCAGCACGTACCTGTGGGCCGCCTTGAGCAGGTCGCTGCAGGAGTGCGCGTCGGCAAAGCCGCGGATGCCCAGGCAGTTGGAGGGGTCCAGCTGACTCAGCAGGAACTTGCAGCAGGCGTCGCGGACACCGTTCAGCTGCAGCAGGCTGGCGGCGGGGAGCAGCGTCTGCGCGGCAGGGAGGTGCGGGTGAGGGAGGCACGGGGCGGGCGGCGGGAGGGGCCGGTGCGAGGCCTCCGCAGGGCCCGAGCCAGGCAGCCTCACCTGCACGTTGCCCTCGCCCACCACGATCTCCGCCGTGTACGCAAACTGCACCAGCTGGTCCAAGGCCTGAGGGTCGATGTCGTGCAGCGTCACGTGGGTCTGGCGGCTCTCGCTCATCTCATCTGTGGGGACGGAGGGTCAGGGGGCCGACCCGAGGGGCCCACCGAGCGCACGGCGCCGCGCAGGCCGCGCAGAGCGGTACTTGCTTGTGAACATGGCGTGGAAGTACGGGCTGCAGGAGGCCAGCACCACTTTGTGCGCGCGGATCTCCTTGGCGGCCACGTGCAGGACGATGTCGCACAGGAGGCCGCGCTGGCGCATGCGGCTCATGGCCACGAAGGCGTCGTGGTAGTGGCGCTTGGAGTTGTGGGCCACGCTGTGGCCCTCGCGGCTCAGCAGCTGCACGGCGCCCTCCATGGGGGCCGCGGGCCGCGCCTGCCGGGGCCGCGCGCGCTCCGCCTCCGGGCTGCGGGGGGCGGGGGCGGGTCAGGCTTCGCCCCTCCGGAGCCTCCGCGCCGGACCGGCAGCGCGCGGGACCCTGCCCCAGGTGCGGCGGGCGCGCCGGCAGCCCTCGCCCGACCCCCGCCCGGGACCCCGCGCGCGCCCCGCCCCGCCCCGCTCCCCGGGCTCCTCCGCGCCCCAGGCCGCCCTCTCGGGCCCGCAGCGGGAGCCGCCGCTCCGGGGCGACCCCGCTCAGCACCCGAGTCCCGACCTCCCCGGGCCCTTCTGCGGGCGGACGCGGGGGCCGGGCCGGGCAGGTCCCCCCGCACTCACGCCGGCGGCTGCGGCGGTGGCGGCGGCGGCGCCTCGGGCCCGGGCCCCGGGCTGCCGTGCTCCGGGCTCTGCGTTCTGCCGGCCGGGCGCTCGCTGCGGGGCTGCATTCGGCCGCCGGACCCGCCGCGGATGCGCGGAGGACACGCAGGCGGACAGACGCGGGGACGGCCGGAGGGCTGCTCGGCGGTGGCGGCCCGCTAAGCGTCGCTCACTCTCGCGGCTCCCGCCCGCAGCCGCTGTTTCTCGGCGCCGCCCGCCCCGCCTCCCGAGAGGCTTGGGGTTCTCGACGTTAGACGCCTGGCCCCCGAGCGCCGCGCCTCGGGTCCGCCTCCTCCTGGGAGAAACCACCAGGCCCCGCCCTCCTCCTGGGAGAACCCCCCCAGGCCCCGCCCTCCTCC